CGGCAATGTATGACTTTATTGTATTTCAAGTGCCGCAAAACACTTATTAAAACAAAATCAAACGAGAGCTAGTTGTTAAGCGGGAAGCGCACTTAGACTTAGTGTGAATTCATAGTAGCCCGCCTCTGCAATGATAATGTGAATAGTGCTGACAAGGATGTCAAACATAAAACAAAAACTAAAACTAAAATCAACAATAAATGGCGAGTCAGCATATTGCTGCAGTGCTGTTTACCCTGTTGTATCCCTCCGATAAAGGGTTGCCTCGACCTATCATTGACCCCTTTGACCTCTCATTGACCCATTTGACCTGCCAGTTTAGTCTAATTGCACACAACCCTTTCACCACTGGGTCATACTGCCTTTATAGACCATAAATATTTGCTGCATAGCAAACTGCCTTTATGGAGCATAAATATTTGTTGTATCAGACATTACATTTAACTCTTTCCACGCCGCATACCGCTCACTGCGCCACATTTTGTTGAAAATACATGTATAGGCCTACGAAATATTTACACCCAAAATTGATTGAATAACTGCGCATTGAAAGGGTTAAAGAGCATAATTGTTTGCTTTATAACAAAATATAATACCCTCCTGGGAATGAAAGGCTTCTGTCTATAATAACGATAATTTAGAGAAAAAAATTAATCCAATAAAAGTAATCACAGCGGGCTTAGGAATAATTACTATTTTTTAATACAAATTCTGTAGATGACGTCACAATGGCTATTTTACTTGTGTTTTCGGGCAGAATTCGCCCTTGGTTGTTTGGAGGACCTCAATGCAAGGTCGAACTTTTTCTCTCCTTCTGTTGTTTTTGAGGACCTCGATGAAAGGTCGTATTTTTTTTTCTTTCGTTCTGTTGTTTCTGTCTCTCCATCTTGCATATTATTTTGTTTTTCATTGCATTGCCATCATAGCATCAATCTGCTTTGTGTTACTCAAAATTAACTGAAAACAAAACCCTGAACTCTCATTGTTTTAGTGTAGACCTGTGTATCTGGAGATGGATGGATGGATGGATGAATGGATGGATGGATGGATGGATGGATGGATGGATGGATGGACGGACGGGCGGACGGACGGACAGACAGACAGACATACAGACAGACATATAGATAGATAGATAGATAGATAGATAGATAGATAGATAGA